CACTGAAAAGTTTCTGCATCCTAAATAATCTCCCCACCGATGCAGTAATCCAAATCAAACCGAATTAGAAAAAGCCCAGCTTAAATAGATACCAATGCTCCCGGGTGACTTTCAGACTCCCAGAGAGGAAGCAGGAAAGGAAGATGGGAAAACTACGTGTTTGTTTTCTGGGGAGCAGTTTAAATACCCTGTGGGAGTGGTCTTGAGCATCTTTAGGGGAGGGGTCATCATTTGGCAGGCTTTCTGAGATGACGTGGGGTTTGGAGAGATATGGGGAAGAGGGGGCTTGGGGTGGAGCTTCCTCCTGAACATTCCAGACTCTTTGGATATTTGGATGCCTGGGGCTGGGCTGAAGCTTCCACTCAAACAGTCACCTGATGCTGCCTGGGCCCCCAGCAGGACCCCAGCCAGGAATGGAAGAGTCTCCTTTGTGGGAGCCTGGCTCACCTGCTGCAGCAGAAGGACCTGTTTTTCCGGTCCTGCTAGGAGTGCCCTTTGTCTGGCAGCCTGCCCCAGAAGCTGGAGCCTCCGGTCTTTGCCGGCCCAGGCTGCACCTCACCTGTGTGTGCAAGGGAAGATGGGTCAGGTGAGGGCTGTCCAGCCTGGGTTGCCACAGGCTCCCCCATATCCTGTGTCCCTGCAGGAGCAGGGCACCTTTCCAACTCTGCACTGCAGTTCTCTGAGAGACAAGGTAACAACGTGATCAACACACACTTCCCTCTCAAGCTCACTGCACTTGCAGGTTGTTTGACCTTTCTGTCTCCTAGTGGGGCATAGTACTGGGCCTCCAGGGGTTATGTTTATAAAGCAATTCCAACTACACATGCAAAGGAATAGGTGATATAGAAATGGTAGTCTTCCTTTCTGTTTCTGAACAATATTATTATTATTATTATTACTATTATTGTTATTATTGCTACCCCCTTGCTCCCAAGTTTCTCAGTGTCTGACCTTTTGGCCACCTTCTCACTGTGCAGGTTCTGTCTAGCTCATCTTGTTCTGCTGATCCATCTAAATCCCAGCCTCAGCCTTTCTCTGGCTTTCAGTATTTATTTGTCTCACTGTGCCTCAGTTTCCTTATTTGTAAAAGAAGTGCACAGGCCTCTCTAATCCACAGTCACTAAAAGGGAAATGAGTCAGCGGTTCAGGGTCTCCAAGTCAGGAAATCTAAAAACACTTCAGAATCTAAAGGTTTTTGTTTGTTTGTTTTGTTGTTGTTGGTGGTGGTGGTGGTTTAGTTTGGTTTTTCCGAGACAGGGTTTCTCTATGTAACAGTCCTGGCTGTCCTGGAACTCACTTTGTAGACCATTCTGGCCTTGATCTCAGAGATCCACCTGTCTCTGCCTCCCGAGTACTGGGATTAAGGCTTACAGCACCGCCGCCTGGCAAAATCTAAGGTTTTACACAAAACCATCAGCTTCAACTGGCGAATCCATGCCACAAAGCGTGTTAGGAAGAGTATGCAAACCTGCTGTCTCTCAGAACTTAGGAAGCCAGGACTTCAAGGCCAGTCTGAGTTATAGAGTGACTACGTTTCAGAGAAAGTTTAAGAGGGGCCCAAGATGACTCAGTGGTCAAGTTGCTTATATTCCATCCCCTTGCCCCACATGGTAGAGGAAGAGAACCAATTCCGCAAGTTGTCGTCTGACTTTGAAAAGTGTGCACTGGCATACATTATATAAATAGCATAAATAAGTACATACATAAATGTGATAGTTTTTAAATACTTTAGTTTTATTTAAGAGAGAGAGAGTGTGTGTGTGTGTGTGTGAGTGTGTGTGTGAGAGAGTGTGTGTGTGTGTGAGTGTGTGTGTGTGTGAGAGTGTGTGTGTGTGAGTGTGTGTGTATGTGTGAGTGTGTGTGTGTGAGAGTGTGTGTATGTGTGAGTGTGTGTATGTGTGTGTGTGAGAGTGTGTGTGTGTGTGAGTGTGTGTGTGTGTGTGTGTCTGGGGGAGGATATGCACATGCATATAGTGCCCATGAAAGCCAGAAGAGAGCACGGGGCCCCCTGGAACTAGTTACAGGCATCTCTCCATTCTCACTGACTTCTCATGTATTAGGAAATTCTTGAGAATCAGATTGAGAAGATGGCACAGTGGGTACAACGCTTGCCTTCTAGGCATGAGGACCTGAGTTCCATCCCCAGAAAATGGATAGAAAAATTAAAAAAAAAAGCCGTGTGTGGTGGTGCTTATAATCTCAGCCCTGGGGAGGCAGAAACAGGAGGATCCCTGGGGCTCAGCCTCTCTGAATCAGTGAGTTACAGTCCCTGGAGAGACCCTGTCTCAGAAAAAAGGGGTAACACTGAGGAGTGATGGCTGAGGGTGACCCCTAGATCCACACATTTTCCTGCACACATGTGCACCCACACACACATGAACACATCTATACACACGCATGCACACACACACACACACAGAGACAGACAGACCGACCGACAGACAGACAGACAGACAGACAGACAGAATCCATAACCCCAATTTCTTCTGGCCCAAGTACCCTGGATAAAGAATCTTCCAGTCCTACTGTTTGCAAGGACAGAGGCTGTGCTCCCCAGCAGTTAACTAAATAATGAAACTGTTTCCCCTGCCCATCTGTCTCCCTCTCCCTGTCTACCTCTGTGCTCTTTGCTCCTATCTGTACACCTGTACCCATCCATTCAACCCCTCCATAGTGAACTTCACCAGAAAAAAACAAAACACAAGGATCTGTCCTCAAAGGACTCCCAGCCTAGAGGAAAATAAATGTTAGGAGAATTAACACACGAACAAAACTGTGCCTAAATTGTCCCACTGGGCTCTGGGAGATGCCTGGGATGCTACAGAGAGGCAGCAAAGGACCTGAGATAGGACATGACTCAAAAGTAAAGCCCCTGTCTAGAATGCCCAGTGAGGGGCTGGGGTGTGGCTCAGCTGTGTGTCCCTCTGGGTATGTGTTTCTGCTTCTTCCCATCTTTGGATCTCCGAGTTTCCGTCTCTCTGAACCTTCACATCCTTCTGTGGTTTTCTCTCTCTCCCCCAGGCCTCTTGGCTCACATCTGCCCCTCCTTGCCTCTGCCCCTCTGCACCCCACACCTCAGACTGATTCTGCCCATCGGAAGTGGATTTCCATCTTAGTGCAAACAGCTCCATCATGTGCAACCAGAAATGCCTCCACTGTCTCAGTCTGTTCCCAGGGAGAAAAGAGACAAAGAAAATGCGACCCACCTCTTTACTCTTTCCTGTAGCTAGCCTCCCTGGCCTCATCCCTCACAGTGTGTACCAAGAACTACCACTTTAACCCCAGCATCTCACACTGGACCTCAGGATCTCCCTCCTGAACCACAGCATCTCTGATCTGGACCACAGCAATTCCTATCTAGGCTACAGCATCTCACACTGGACCTCAGGATCTCCCTTCTGGACCACAGCAACTCCTATCTACAGCATCTCACACTGGACCTCAGGATCTCCCTTCTGGACCACAGCATCTTTAATCTGGACCACAGCAATTCCTATCTGTAGCATCTCACACTGAACCTCAGAATCTCCCTTCTGGACCACAGCATCTCTGATCTGGACCACAGCAATTCATATCTACAGCATCTCACACTGGACCTCAGGATCTCCCTTCTGGACTACAGCGTCTCTAATCTGGACCACAACTAGGCTAAATAAAGCATCTCACACTGGATCTCATCATTTTCCATCTCAGCATGGTCCTCCCTTCTACTCCCTACCAAGAGTGATTTTATAAAGTAGACAAATTCATGTCACTCCCTCTACCGCTGTGCATAACATACAAGCCTTTAAACCTTGATGTTTAAATCATTTCTACAGGCTTCCTTGTCTGTCTTGTTTTCCACAGAATGTCCACCAACATATGTTTCTCTGCAACGCTCACCTACCTGCTCCTCACTCTTCCTCATAGATGTCTGGTTCCTGGTTTAAATATCCCCTCATCAGACACTACCATTTATTATTTTCTGATTCCTCTGGGTTTTCTTTATTGTCTATCTTCCCACCTTCACCGGTACAGGGGACATCTTCATTCTTCCTGGTCCCTGGCCTGGTGTAGAGCTCCAAGCCTGACAGTTGCTTGACTGCTCTTGACTAAGGGATGCTTTTGTCTCCCTCTGGTTCCCAGAAGCCTCTGCACCAGGACACCTGCAGAGGGGGGGAGGGGTCTGTTTGCAGGCTTATCTGAATTCAAGCTATACATGGAGTGATGGTTACCCTGGTCCTATGCATGGGGAAATGGAGGATCAAGAGGCAATAACGTTCCCAAGGATGTACGTTCCCAAGGACGTACAAGACGCAGGCTGATTTGATGCTAAGGCAGTTTTTGGAGGACACACAGACAGGAACTCATAAAGAAAGAGAATATGGGAGCAATGTAGGGGAAATTTTCTTTAGTGAATAAGAGAAAGGGCATGAGAGGAGGAAGGAATGAAAAACATGAGGTGGGGAGAAAAGAGGCAAGAGAGGCTGAGATTTGGGCACTGATCTGGGCACTGCTCCCTTCCTGTGCCCCAGACTCCATCAGGAAGCCTGCGGGCTTTGAGCTGGAGTCTGCAGCACCTGACGTAGAATGTGTCCCCTGGGGGGCAGGGCCAGCCCCAGTTGAGGAGGTTTATAAGCCCTGTGGGGGCCCCTGTGGGTGGCAGCTCTGCTCAGCTCAGCCGCAGAATCACAGACTCCGGAGTACAGAGGTAAAGATCTTGTTCTCTCTCTCTCTCTCTCTCTCTCTCTCTCTCTCTCTCTCTCTCTCTCTCTCTCTCTCTCTGCCTCTGCCCAAACCTCTTGAATTCCCTGCCTGGGCTTTCACATATCCTAAGTGAAGTTTTATGCCTCCATCTCTCCATCCCCTCACCAGCCCATTCCTAGACAGATGCTTCCTCCTCCCCTTTTTCTCCCAAAACACAATAAACAAAGCAGAGAGTTTGGGGACATCCGGAGAGGTGGAGAGACTGGGATAGCCATCCCCAGATTCTCTCCTCTTCCTTTCCAGGAGCCAGCGTGATGGTTACTGCAAGAACCCCCTGGGGCTGGTTCCTGGGGCATCTCATCCTTGGGGTTACAGGTATCTGAGTGTGTGTGTCCTGGTGTGTGCCTGAGGGAACAGTGTCAGCCAGCATCCAGGTGACTCAGTGTCTTACTGCTTCTGACTACCATGCGGCAGTAAGGAGTGACTGCTGACAGTGGGCTGGAGTGGGGTGGATCATGAGAATGAGTGACTGCTCTAAGGGGAAAATGGGATCATGCCCATTCCTGGGTGACTAGGTGAGACTATCTGTCTCCTGGGTATTTGGCCCATTTGTTTATTTTTAATGAGTCTTACATAGTCCATCCAGGCTGGCCTTGAATCCACTAAAGCTAAGAACAGCCTTGACCGTCTGATCCTTCTGCCTCCATCTCCCAAGTGCTGGGATTACAGGTGTGCACCACCATGCCCAGTTGACATGGAATTTAAACCCAAGGCTTCGTGCATGCTCCGTGAACACTCTAGCAGTGGAGCTCCCGGCCTCCTCTGGGATAACGATGTCTGGGTGAATGGGCTGTGGCTGGGTGTGACCGTGGTGAGCCTCAAGGGAGGCACAGCCATGCCACAAAGCTGAAGAGCTCGTGGGGTAGCTGCCTGGGTGTCTCATCTCGTCTGGGCCAGCTGAATGAAGGAGCTTTGGTTCTGAAAGACTCCTGGCATGGCTCTGCGTGTGAGAGAAATGGTTCCTGGGTCCAGAAGACTAGCTTCAGACTCCAAGCTGACTCAACCTCCTGACAATTGATCCTGCCTCCCAAACCTAATGAGGCCCACCCCCCCCCCTTAACTCCTCTCAAGGAACCTGACCCCACCCCCTCTGAGCCTTGACCCCACCCATTTGAGTCCTGACCACACCCCTCTGAGCCCTGACCCCAACACCTCTGAGTCCTGACCCCAACCCGAGTCCTGACCCCACCCCTCTGAGCCCTGACCCCACCCCTCTGAGTCCTGACCACACCCCTCTGAGCTCTGACTCACGCCAGGCACTTTCTTGGTGACTAGAGACTAGTCCCTTCTATCTCCCAAATTTCCGTGCAGCCCTGACTCTGCTAACCCCTCCATGGTAATTCTCCCCTCTCTGACTCTGACTCTTAAGAACCCCAAAGTTTCAGCCATAATCCTGTTCCCAGATTCTTCCCCTAAAATTCCTGGCCCAGCCTCTTCTGCCTGTCCCCACCCGCGCCCACATCTCTGAAGTAACACCTTGTTCCCTGTGTCCTGGATTCTCCTCCTGACTGTCCCCCAAACTGTCCAGTTTATGTGGTGAACCCTAGCCCCTCTCAGGAGGCAGGGATCTTGATTCCCAATTAACATCCTGTCGCCGTGAGCCCTGCCTGTGTCCAGTCCACTCTGACCTGATCATCCACCTTCAAAGCACCTTCCTTCCCTTCTCCATGGCTCCTCCCAGGACCTGGGAAGCCCCAGCCACGTGTATGCACGTGGTCCAGCTGCACCCCACCTGGCCCAGCTTTCTCATTCTGACCCCAGCCCGGGTTCCACCCCTGAAGCCCCGATCAAGCTCCTGAACTAAACTTAACCCCCAGGAACCCTGTGGCTGCAACCTGAACCTGTCCCCAGCCATGGTCCAGACCCTAAAATCCCGAGATAGCTGGAGAGCCCTAATCCTACCTCTTGCACTGGTGTCCTGACATGGCCTCGCCCTGCAGCTGCAACCACTCGCCTTCACTCAGACCCTACCGGAAGGAGCTCTAACCCAGGATCCACAGCTTGTTCCCGGTCAAGATCCACACCCCAACACACAAACACCGCAACCTCTGATCACATCCGTTCACTCAAACATCACCCCCTTAACTCTGAGCTCTCATCCCGACCGTGCTCACAGATTCCGCCCTGAACCCTTTCCCCATCCTAGAAGCCATGAAACGCCCCCGCTCCACACCCCACACCTCCCAATTCTTACTCCATCCCCAGGATCCTTAGCCTCAAGTGCCAGCGGTCGGATCATACAAGGCCAGGACTGCCGTCCACACTCGCAACCCTGGCAGGCGGCACTGTTCTCAGAAGATAATGTATTTTTCTGCTCGGGCGTCCTGGTGCATCCGCAGTGGGTGCTGTCAGCAGCACACTGCATACAGGAGTGAGTGGGGGTAGTGGGGCGGGATGCTGAGGGGAGGGGGTCGCAATATCAGCCTCGGCCAGCAGAGGGCGCTCAAGGAGCCACAGCGTTGACAGGTGTGGGGGAGCCCACCCTAGTTGGACCAGGACAGTCTAGTGGGAAGGAAAAGGCAAAGGGGGAGGTCACTGTTGCTTTAGGGTGGAGGATGAGATGGGAGACCAGGTGCCGCTGCATAGCTCACCTGCTGGGTGATCCTCAGTTCGTACACCGTGGGACTGGGCCTGCACAGCCTGGAAGGCTCCCAAGAGCCTGGCAGCCGGATGTTAGAGGCCCACCTCTCCATCCAGCACCCGAACTACAATGACCCTCCTTATGCCAACGATCTCATGCTCATCAAGCTAAACGAGTCAGTGATGGAGTCTAACACCATCAGGCGCATCCCTGTGGCATCCCAGTGCCCCACCCCTGGGGATACCTGCCTAGTCTCTGGCTGGGGTCGACTAAGGAACGGTGAGCTCCTGGGGACATGACCACCCTCTCTGAGAAGGTTCCCAGCCAGTCAAAGGGGCTGACCCTCCGTTCTGTATCCTAGGGAGACTGCCCAGCCTGCTGCAGTGTGTGAATCTGTCAGTGGTGTCAGAGGAGACCTGCCGGCAGCTCTATGACCCCGTGTACCACCTCAGCATGTTCTGCGCTGGAGGAGGGCAGGACCGAAAGGACTCGTGCAATGTGAGATACAGGAGGATGGAACGGAGATGGGGGTGGGGAGATGCAGAAGGTACACCTGAGGGACTCTGAGATGGGATGTAAGAAATGCAGAGCCAGGTGTGGTGGCCACTTCTTTAATCCCAGCAGGGAGGCAGAGGCAGGTGATCTCTGTGAGTTCAAGGCCAGCTAGATGTACACAGTGAGATCCTGTCTCAAAAGGAAGAGGAGGTGGGGGGGGGGTAAGGGAGTAGAGAGGAAGAGGGCAGCAGAAACAGAGACCCAGAAGCCAGGCAAGGCTGTTCAGACCTCTAAGCTTAGCCACTCAGGGAGCTGAGAAGGAAGACCCACTTGGACAGCTAAGTGAGAGTGTGCCTCAGAATAAAATGTAAAAAGATGGCTAGGAATATAGATCAGTGCAAAACACCTACCTAAGTCCTCCAACGAGTGGTGGGGTGTGTGGCTCAGTGGTGGAGCTCCTTGGTAAAAGCACTGGATTCTGTTTCCAGTGCTACAGAGCAGAAAGAAAAATAGACCTAGAGAAAAACCAAAAGCACAAATAGCCAGTCTGAGAAAGTACAAATGAAGAGGACATAGATTTATACAGAACTCAGAGACAGAGGGGCAGATAAGGAAGCCCTGGAGGAGACAGCCAGCTTCGGAAGCAGCCGGTTGTGTGGACACATGGCTCCTGTTTAGGTGGCCGCTAGCCTCTTGCAAGGGCATGCGTTACCTTCCTCCTGTCTTTGTCTACCATGCTGAGGTGGACGCTCTGGGACTTCGTGTTTATCTTCAGCTCATGCTCTCCTGGATAATCTCTCTCTCTCTCTCTCTCTCTCTCTCTCTCTCTCTCTCTCTCTCTCAGGGGGACTCTGGCGGTCCCATTGTGTGCAACAGGTCCCTGCAAGGGCTCGTGTCTATGGGACAAGGAGAATGCGGACAGCCTGGCGTACCAAGTGTCTACACCAATCTCTGCAAGTTCACTAACTGGATCCAGACCACCATTCGGACCAACTACGGACTGACCACACCGCCCACATGAAGCCTGCTGAGGGAAACAGAGACTCTGGATTGCTCTCAACCCTCTTCCATCGGACCCACCCACAAGTTCAGACCCCAGCCTCCTCCCTCAGACCCACCCTCAAGTTCAGACCCCAGCCTCCTCCCTCCGACCCACCCTCAAGTTCAGACCCCAGCCTCCTCCCTCTGACTCAGGAGTCCAGGTCACAATCTCCTCCCTCAGACTCAGGAATGGGACCCACCTGCATTTTTTTCTGTGTGCTGTGCTCCCTGGTAGCCCAGTGTTGATCCAGCCTTGTCTCTGTTAGGTTTGCCCCTCACCCAGACACCTCTCATCTCCTTCTCAGGGATCCACAAATAAAAGTCCTCCCAGTTCTGTTTGAAGTGCTCCTGCCTCCCTTTCCATCATGGCTTTTCCTCTTCGTGCCTTGGTTTCCTATGCAATGGGAGCACAGGCCAGGAAGCCGCTGGGCTGTTATGTAGCAGCCTGCTGGTGACGTGAAGAGACACCAGCTCTACAGGTGTCACCTGCTGGTGACGTGAAGGGACACCAGCTCTACAGGTGTCCTCTCACCTCAAAAAGTGGGGGTTCGGCTTTACAACCTCTCTTATGACTGGTCTGCTTTTGTTTTTGTCTTTGATTTTAAGATTTACTTTTTTATTTTCATTTATGTGTATATGTGCGTGTGTGTGTGCGTGCATGTGTGTGTGTGTGCGCGTGTGTGTGTGTAAGTACTGTGCCCATGGAGACCAGAAGAAGGTAGCAGATCCCCTGGAGGTGGAGCTACAGAAGGTTGTAAGTCATTGGACATGGTTTCTGGGAGTCTAACCCCTATGTCTTAATTAGGGTTTCAATACTGTGAAGAGACACCATGAGCATGGCAACTTTTATAAAGGAAAACATTTAATTGGGGCTGGCCTACAGTTTCAGAGGTTTAATTCTCTATCTTCATGACAGAGAGCTTGGCAACATGCAGGCAGACATGGTTCTGGAAAAGGAGCTGAGAGTTAGTTCCACATCTTGATCCACAGGCAACAGAAAATGAACTGAGTCTCCCACCTTGGGTGTAGCCTGAACGTGTGAAATCTTTTTTTTTTTTTTTTTTTTTACAGCAACAAAGCAGCACTGAAGTTTTTATTCATGTGAATTATTAAAAATGGGCATCTATACCATGTCAAATGAGGGTGGGAGAGGAAGGCAGGGGAGGCAAGGAGAAGGAATTCCCGTCTATTGGTAATATAGCTCCAGGTTCATCCCATCATGGATTTCATAATCTCCCAGAGACACGTGGTCCTTAAAAATCGTGTACCACTTTTTAAGAACGATCTTATTCCACCGGGTGCCAGTTTGAGCCGCTATCAGTTTCTTCAAGTCCCCGATGGTGTCATCGGTGTTGTACTTGACGCGGACTTTCTTTCCTAGACGGTCGTTACAAACCACCTCAATCATTGTGGCTGGACCTCTAAACCCCTCGAACTTATCGACGACACAACTCCTACGAACATGTGAAATCTTATAGCCTACTTTTACAGTGACATATTTCCTCCAACAAGGCCACACCCCTAGTAGTGCCACTCCCTGTGGGCCAAACATTCAAAGACATGAGTCTATGGTGGTCATTCCTGCTCAAACCACCACATTCCACTCCCTGGTCCACATAGACTTGCAGCCATAATGTAATGCAAAATGCATTTCATACAACTTCAAAAGTCCCTATTGTCTATCACAGTCTCGACAGTGTTTAAAAGTCCAAAGTTCAAAGTCTCTTCTGAGATATGTGTAATCTCTTAACTGTAATCCCCTATAAAATCAAAATCAAAAAACAGATCACATACTTCCAACATATACACAGGATATACATTACCATCCCAAAACAATGACTGGAAATACTGGACCAAAGCAAGTCCTAACCCAGCTGGGCAAACTCCAAACTCTGCTCTCTACGTCTGATGTGAAAACACACTTCAGAGTCTAGATGGGAAGTAGAAAAAGACAAGATCTTCTGAGTAAATTGGGAGCGTGGGAACCATGGGAGAAGGTTAAAGGGGAAGGGAGAGGCAGGGAGGGGAGTAGAAAAAATGTAGAGCTCAATAAAATCAATTTAAAAAGTGGGGGTAACACTTTTCAGATCAGCTGGGTGGTGATGGTACACACATTTAATCCCAGTACTTGGGAGGCAGAGGAAGGTGGATCTCTGTGAGTTTGAGGCCAGTCTGGTCTACAGAGCTAGTTCCAGGACGTGCTTCAAAGCTACAGAGAAACCCTGTCTCAAAAACAAAAACAAACAAACAACAAAAAAAACACTCTTCAGATCTCCAACTTATTTTACTGCAACATATTTCTTTCTCCTGGGCTGGTTCCACTCCCTGTTAGCAGCTCTCCTCAGCAGTTACCCCACAGCTCTAGCATCTTTAACACCTTGGGTTCTCCAAGGCAATCCAGGCTTCATGTTCACAGCTTCGCACAGTGACCTCTCTGGGCCTCCATTCCAGGGCACCCGTGACACATGCCTGACTCCAGTTGCTTTCCTTAGTCATAGAGGGAGATTACATAGCCCCTTTCTTGTATCCTTGGCTCCAAAGCCATAACCATATGTCTGAAGCTACCAAAATTCTGCTGCTTACGGGGGCTGGAACAATTGCATCTTCACTGGCTTTCTGTTTTCCATGATTTCTTTCACTGCCTAAGCTTGGCTTTCTTGGAACTTGCTCTGTAGACCAGGCTGGCCTTGAACTCAGAGATCTATACTCCTCTCCTCAAAGCTGAGATTAAAGGCGTGTACCACCACACCTAGACACAAGCTGTTTTTTAGTTCCTTTTCATAAGTTGGAAGCTTGGCTGGGTAGGATCTTGCCCTGAGGTCTCCGCTCCCTTTACTCCATTTCTTAACCTGTTTATCTCCTTGGACACAGGATTCAGCTCCATTCCAATTGTACTTTTTGTATCTTTCCTTGCTCAGCTTTTTTATTTTCATTATAGAACTTCCTAAGAGTGAAAGCTAATAACCACACCACAGTGTCAACCCTAGGCTGTTTTGAGACTCCCTCCATCAACAGAATTAATGCAAACCTTCACTTTAGCCTCAGCTAGACTTGTCAGAAAAGGCAAAAAGCATTCCAATTCTTCACCAAAATGTCACAAGACTGGTCTCTAGGTGGCATACTAACATTCTTCTCCTTTGAAACCCCCTTAGCCAGGCCACCACAGTTCAGCTCTCCCTCAGCACCACTGTCTTCTGTGGTCCTACAAGGATGACCCATTAAGCCTTTAAAGCATTCAACTGCTTTTTAATCCAAAATACCAAAGTCCGCATTCCTCCAAACAAATTGGTTAGGCCTATCTCAGCAATACTAACTTCTGTTAGGGTTTCTATTGCTGTGAAGAGACACCAATACCAACTTTTATAAAGGAAACATTTAATTGGGGCTAGCCTACAGTTTCAGAGGTTAATCCACTATCTTCATGGCGAAGAGAGCATGGCAGCATGCAGGCAGACATGGGCCTGGAGAAGGAGCTAAGAGTTCTACATCTTGATCCACAGGCAACAGGAAGTGAACTGAAACCACCACACTGGGCGTAGCCTGAACATCTGAAACCTTAAAGTCCACTCCCACAGAGACATACTTCCTCTGACAAGGCCACGTCCCCTAATAGTTCCATTCCCTGCAACCAAGCATGTAAACACAAAGTCTATGCAGGGTCATACCTATTCAAACGACTGCACCCTATTTTCTGCAAGAGTAGCCATACTGTCAACCACTAGCCATCTCTCCTGCCCCTGTTTTTGTCTTTTTTCCCACACCTTAAGAATGTCCCACTGCACCTGTAATGGTCTGTCCTATTCCTTTAAGAGACAAGCCATGCCCACTCCCTCCCTTGTCTGCCTAGGCAGGGTGATCTTCAGCTTCCCGCCTGAGTCCTTTTCTTTCCATCTCTCTCTCAAAGAGGCAGCTTCTGTCTCCCCACTTCTCCCCTTGCCCCCTCTCTGCTTCTCTCTCTCTCTGCTTCTCTCTCTCTCTCTCTCTCTCTCTCTCTCTCTCTTTCTCTCTGCCTCTCTCTTTCTCTATTCTTATCCCCTTTTCCATTTTCCCCTCCATAGCCCACTAAATAAATATCCAACCTCACTCTGCATGGTGTGCCTATCCATGTCTCTGTCTCTTACCCACCACGGGGCTCCCTGTCTGGGACCAGCTGCCTTCAGAGACCTGCTGCATGGTCTCGTGGTGTGCCCATCCATCTGTCTCTCCTCATGGAACTGGCTATCCTGTTAAGGTCTCTCACACACCACATGGCACCCTGCCTGGGACTCGCTGCCCCTCATGGCCCACTGCAGCCACTTGAGGAACTGGGACATCCCTGCCTGGGACTGGCTGCTCTCAGACCCGCTGCCTGACTCCACTTGGGGAACTGCAGCATTTTACTTAACCATTACAGTACCTGGCTTAGGACCCAGCTGCTGTAGCTGGAAACTGATAGGAAAAGTCTGAGATGCAGCTGTGAGACCCAGAGACAGTGACAGGGCCACACACAGCACATATAACAGGAGGAACTGCTATTGAGCTCTGCATTGATAAACTATACTAGCAAGGTGGTGTGTATCTGTAATACAAGCATAGAGGAGACTGAGGTAGAGGCCAAGAGTTCAAAGCCAGCCCAGGTTACATAGAGAGGCCCAGTCTCAAAACAAACAAACAAAAAAAACTGGATTTGTAGATGTACCCACAAAGGAAGCAAGGAAGTGTCCACCCTCTTTTATTTGTCTTGCTGTTCTTTATTCTGCTTTGCAAGCCAGGATGGCCTGGAATTCATTATGTAGCCAAGAGGGATCTTAAATCCTGATCCTCATGCCTGTACCTTCCAAGACCTGGGACAGCAGGTATGCACCACTACACCCAACTATCAAAAAATTTTACGTATTATTTAACAGATTCTCAGGTACACAAAATATGGAGTAAGTTGCTAAAGTGGCATCAACAAGTTCCCTGTCACAGGATGTTTTTACAGTGACTCAGAGTAAATGATAGAAGAGCCGAGACAGAAATCAGGAGGTATACGAATGATTCAAACAGTGCAATCAGCACACTTTGCTTCCCTAGCGTTTGGGGAACAGTAAGTCCTCTGTCTACAGAACATAAAATCTCCCACACACACCTGCCGAGATGGCTGACACTGCGGAATGTGACCAGCTCAAGTGTCAATTACGAAAAGAGCAGGAAGTTAGAGAGGGTTTTAAAAGTATACCAATTTAGAAGGAGTCTAGCAGATTCTCTGTTCTGTCCGTGTGTGCTGTGAGATACTGTGGGTATGTGTGTATCACAGGTATATGCAGAGGTCAGAGGACAACACCTTGAGACAGTCTCTTGTTTTCTGCTATCTTCAGCAACTCCTGTCTCCACCGCCCATCTCACCATGATTCCCATGGAATTACAGATATAGGCACTACTTTGTCTGCCTTTCCTGTAGGTGCTGGGGATCCAAACTCATACGGCAGTGATTGCACAGCAAGTGATTTTCCCACCAAGCCTTCTCCCTGCCCTCTAGCAGATTCTTACAGACTCGTCGGCTTGATGGTCAGCAGTTCCACCCTAGCTGCTTATCTAAGATTCGTGGGGAAAATCAAGAGCAGAAGCCTTGCTTAGGATGGGGTAAGGCAACTCAGTTGAGCACTTACCTAGCCTGTGTGGACCCTGGGTTCCATCCTCAGCACGGCACAAACTGGCTGTGGGGTTACATGTACTTACCTAGCGTGTGTGGGTCCTGGGTTTCATCCACAACACGGCATACTCTGGCTGTGAGGTTACATAGCTGCGATTCCAAGCATTTGGGAGGTCGCGGTGGGAAAATCAGGAGTTCAAGGCAGTTCTTAGTTACTTACCTAGTTTAAGGCCAGTCTGGGTTACATGAGACCCTGTCGCCCCTGCCCCAAACACCACTGTTTTGCTTGGGAATCAGGTTGGAAACAAAGCAGATGTCCAGTTAGTGAATGGCGTGGTGACCTGATGTGAAACGGAGTCTACCAGTTAGTGAACGGCGTGGAGACCTGATGTGAAACAGATGGCTCTCCGTGATTAGAAGAAACAGAACTGCAACGGCTTAGTTATGGTTCTGTCTGAATCCCTTGTGCACCAGGAAGCCATAGTGCCACATACAAACTGTTCTGTACTGAATCATTTACATGGGGTCCTAGACCAGCGCGACCAATCGTTGATGCCTAGGATAGTGGCCAAGATGAGAGGAGAAGACAGGGTGCTGCTTAGTTTTAACCTCAGTTTTGTCTGCTTTGGCCAGCCAGAAGGAGGCATCCGATCCCCAGAGCTGGAGTAAGAGACGGTTAGGAGCAGCCTGACGTGGGTACTGAGAGCCTAACTTGGGTCCTCTGCAAGAGATGCACACGGCTCTCGCTACAGAGCCATTTCTCCGGCCAGAGGCTTAATACACAATTATGTAAATCAGGTTCACCTGTGGGCACGTCTATCGGGATTTCCTGATTGTTAA